GCTTGAGGTTCACATGTTTTGGGCGTAGGTGGCAGTAGGGTTCATAGGCCTTTTGGGGTTTGGGGTTTGTCAGCGCCTGGTTCAAGAGGCTTCTCGGGGGCTTTTAGGGTTTAGGGCCCGAGGCATGTTCGAGGGAGTAGGATGAGAGGTGTAATGGAGCTTGGAGGTTTTCTCGGCAGGTCGGTCGGCAGAGTTGTCAGGCTTTGAAGCCGATACTCGGGCATGCGCTGGACCTTGGGGGCCCCGAACCCTCGGACCCCAACCCAAGAACAGCTTCACACTAGAAGAAAGCCCCCACTCCTCACAATTCACAGGAAGTCTTCGCACAGTCTATAGACCCCAAGCAGACCTGTCGGGTTCCCGTGCTTAGGAACCGCCCTCCCTATTTTAGGTCCAAAGCCCCGACACGCAGAAAGGGTCTCTTCTCAGGCCTTGGTCCTGGGCGCCCACCTCTCTTCCGTCACCACGAGCGCCCACATCGCAGGCAATGGGAGCGTCGGTTTCTGATTGAGGCTGAGCGGACACCTTGAGGGTAATGCTTGAATGCTTGTGTTGGCTCGGAGTGACGCCTGCCGCTTTTTGATTCTTGTTACGTCATGGGATGCAGGGTTCCGCACAGCTCGAGCTGTGACCGTGAGGCATCTCTCTCTGGCAGTTCGCCGACATCCTAGTCGACCGCAGCGTGTACCTGGGTCAGAATAAACCAGAAGCCCCAAGCCTCAACTATGCCGTAAGCCCTTGAAAGGCCCAAGAATAAGAAATCGAGACCAGACTCCCCCCGCAGTGGCCGAGGAGTGATGAGCAGCATCGCCCGCGAGGCGCTGCGGCTAGGGTTGTTTTGACAGACCTGACCAGGATTTTAAACCCTGAGCCTGAATTGGGGGAGTTTGAGGTTGAGTGTGAACTTGGACTTGTTTCGCTTGAAGATGGCAGATCCCTTTCTGAGATTCTGGCTTGCAAGGGGCTGCGGACGGCGACTTGCGGCATGTGCGAAACACTCAGAATATCTCAGGCCTTGCCGTGCTCTTGCCAGCAAAACCGCCACCACCAACTGAGAATACGACAGACTGCCGACCCTGAGATTGCACGCGCTTGTGCTGGGTCCGTTCGAAAAGCTGAACAAGCGTTGCTCAGGATACTTTCTGTTGCCGGTTGGCTCCCAAGATAAGTTTGACAATATGTGGTCACCACTCCGAGGGCCCTGTGATGCCCTTGGCCGTATGATGCCAGGATCTGCCCCCGCGAGCCCTCCTGAAGCATCTCCTTAAGCTGCAAACAGCACCAAAAGACGCCGTAGGCAACCCTATACACCCAGAGCCCCAAGAACCTACACCCTACATGAAAGCCAGGCCTGAACAACAAGGGGGTCTTCAGCCTCTACCGCTCGCCAAAGCTCGCAGCAGCGGCCGTGAAGTCGGTGCTGCAGCGTCGCTTGGCTTTCAGGGTTGGAATGGAGCTAGTCTAGGCTTTCTGGTTGAGGCCAAACAAAGGGTTGAGGATTCAGCGGTTGAGGCTAGCGGCTAGAGTGTCGGGATGTGATTCAAGGGCTTCGGGTTTTGGCTTGGGGATTTCGGAGTCGGGCCGTTGTCTTTGGGGTTTCATTTTCATTTTGCTCGAACGTTAGCTAAAGTTTCAAGATCTCCCGGCCGATAGTTTTGGGTGTGTTGGTGTTTTTGCCAGACCGTTAGGATCCAGGGGCGTTGGAGGACCATTCGGGACCAGGAACAGGGCAAGAGCTTGCTTATGGCTACAGAAACTTCTGTCGAGAAGTCTGTGAGTGCTTGCCCTACTGTGAAGCCAAGGTGCAGAGGGGACTGGGTGAGCGACATCGCAAAAAGAGCTGCGATTTGACGGCTCCTGCTTGGGTGCTTGGGTTTAGGTGCAGTGGCCAAGGCATTGTGTCGCATCAGGGTGCTCTTTGTGGGAGGTTGTGACGGCCATGGCGCTGTGTGGTGGTCCTTTTCTCTGTGCAACTAACTTTGAACAGGGTCTCTTCGCTCGCACCCAAAACCACGCGCCGCAAAACCAGCGGGAACCGCCTATCCACTTCTGACCATCCCGAACCGAGATCCGAAATCCTAGCTGGAACAGGAGACCAGCAGATTCCGAAGATGGAGAGGGAAGCGGAGGATGGGCTGGTTTTGGGATAAGGCTTTCGGGGTACAGGCTCTTCGCAGCCTGCATGGCTTTGGCACGGGGTGGATGAGGGAAGTGCAGGATTTGTGGCAGTTGAGTATGTTGAGAGCTTTCCTTCCGGGGCTACGGCCTGATGTGAAAGACTTGGGATCGGATGGGATTTCAGCTTTGCATCCAGAGCTTGCGACAGCTAGCTCTGCTATCTGAGTGGAAAACCTTAAGGTCTTCAAACCCCCAAATCCCTGAGCTTGTTAACAGGAAAGTTACCCTAGTTGACAACGGTCACTGAAGTGTCAGCAGTGGCAAGAAAATGGCTATGCCATCTTGCAGTCAGATCATCCCTTGCAATCTCTTGCCGTATACGTGTTGCCAGTGCTTTCATCCTATGCAGCCTCTGCATGCCTGAGCGGCCTTGTGCTGTGTCTCCGGGCTTCATTGACTACCTCACCCGGCCTGCACTCGAAAGAAGCAGGATGACAAGCATATCACTGTTGAGGCGATGCTTGACGATCGCGCTGGTCACGGAAATGAAGATGATGAGCAAACGGCTCTTGATGATGATTCTCTGTAGTCGTACGGTTCAGGGATGCCATGTGATTCTTGAGATTGAAACTTAGGACTCCAAGGTAAAGTCTCAGAATACGCAATGGCAAACCCCTTTCTGAAATCCTAACCATCCCGATCTGTCGTGCTGTTTACAGCGTTACAGAGGCGGCACTATGTTGCGCTCACTGCCAAACCTGGGGTGGAGGAGGCGACGCCGGACTACGCCACCTGGTCGCCTTTGAGTCTTTTGGTGTGTCCCGTGCGAGTATGTGGGCTACTGATGCAGTCTTTTTGTAAAGCTTCATGGTTTGTCAGTCTCATAGGTCCTATCTAAGCAGGCTCAACACGGCATAATGCGAGAACCCAATGCACCGACACTCATAAAGGTGTGCCCCATTTCGTTCTTGACTAAAGCCTCACTAACCCTGGAAGCCTAAATTAAATTACGAATGGCAGCCTCTCCTGCATACCTGCAAGAGTGAGGGTGGCGAACTCAAACCGCCAGGACCCGAAGCCCCGAGAAGCTCTTGACCGAACCGCTGCAATCCCAGTGCGCGCACATGGGCTTAAATCTGACCCACCAATAGTCCGATTATGAAACGATCTACCCCCCCCCGTACCTGAAGCTCCTAAGTTCGAAAGCCCCGGCTGGCGTTGTCTCTCAATCTGAGGCCTGCTTCAGTGACGACCTTATCCTCGTTCTCAGTCAGGCTTCGCTCAGATTTTTGGGGGCAAGCGGTTCGCGGCTTCAAATTGGTACCGTTCTCAACGCAATGGCCTTCAGACGGTCCATGGCCCCTAAATCGTCCAAGATTTTCTGGCAATTTCCGGTCTCCGAGCTACTGACCCCCGTTGAGCGCTCCAGCGCAGCCGGCTGAACCCGCAGCCAGACGAGGTCAAAAAGTCAAGATTCCGAGCTCCCAAGCCCCCAAGAGTTGCCGTTCCTCTTTGAGCGAAGCGCTTCGCAGGCCGAAAAGAAGGCTAAGGAGCTGAAGCAAGCGCATCTTGCCGGAGCTTTATTGAGCAACAGGGCGGCGACACTCTCGGGTTTCACCTGTGCCTTGAGAAGTTTGAGCGGGTTTGCGTTTACGAGCTTTCGGATTCGAGGTATTGGTCATGTGAATTGGCCTGCTTGGGTTTGGAGGTGATGCTGTGAAGATTTTCTGAAGAATGCTTCGTGCTTTTAAACTTGATTGGCTGCGCTCAGCGGGAACTCATCGCGCTGTCGCGACAAGGCGGAACGAGCCATTGACACTCAAAGCTCGTGCATGCACTTCGGCCCACGAAGCCTCGGCTTCGTTCGGGGTTAGCTAAGGGAGGCTGAAATTGAAGAAGTCTCGGTGAAGGTTTCAACCGCAACGCTCAAGAGTCGCTTTCGGGACTGGGAGCTACTGGTTGGTCCTGAAGCTTGAAATCGAACCATCAGCTCCCTAGTTCAAAACCGCATCGTTCCCTTCTGCAGATTGCTGGAGTCGGAAGGCACAACACCTGCTTAGAATCTTTGACATCGAGAGGGACGGCCATGTGAAGTCCACAGCCCTAGATCCTTAACCTCCAAACGCTTGTTGCCGAAAGCGATTCCACGCAAGGCAAGTGGGAACTGAAGCGCTTTTGTTCTGCCCTCGGAATGTTTAGCTAACATTCAAGATTCGTTGTTGAGGGGTGCCCAGGTTCATGGCGTGATCGAACCCCTCGGCCGAGGAACCTGCCTCTAAGGGTGAGGTCTTTGCATGCAGAGAAAATACGGCCGTTCTTTCGTTGCGTCGCTGTGAGTTCGGCTGCTGCTAGCAATGTCAAAGTGCTTGTGCAACGATAGACGGCAAAGCAGTGCAGGACGCACGGGGTCCCGCAGGTTCGAGCCCCTTCCCACAAAGCTTCTGAGGTTGGGCCTCCTGACCGCTGAGGTGTGCCCCGGTGCCGAGGCAATTTTTCACTTTTCCTTCAGTCTGGAGATTTTTTGCATAGTTTGGATCAGGCCACCAGAAGTGCTGCGTTTCCAGGCCCGCCGGCAGAAGCTTTTGCCAGCTCGAATCACAATTTTTGACGGTTTGTGGTGTGGGGCTTCGGGTTGCACAAGAACCTCGTCGGGCTCAGCTGGGTGCCAGTCTCTCCACCAGGAACTTGCAGGGGGCTTGTTCAGGTTCCTGATGGCTGATGCGGTCACAAGTTCATGCTACTACCGTTCTCATCAGGTCCGGGGAGCAAGATGATTGGGTGTACAAACTGCAGTTCTAAGTCTTTGCGGTCCAAGGTCACGGCAATCGCAAGTCGCATGTGTATGGAAAGTGTTCGGCTCATTTGCTGTGCCATTTTCCGCGATGCTAGCCCGCCTCCAAGCAAGAAATCAATGCTTTGGCAGCTTGCGGCCCTCGCTTCGGTGGCTGGTGGTGTTAGACTCTTCATGTTTCAAACACGTCATCGACTGTCCGAACTACACCGCTTCAGCAGCCTATGGAGACGATCCGCTTGCAGGCCTCAGTGAGAAACGCCGCGGGATGCTGCTGGAGTCCTTTGCTCGCGGTCTGCTGGAGCGCAGGTATCCGGACAAGCCATCTGAGAATGCGCGCTCTCTGCTGATGTGTAAAGATGGTCGTGCTCGCGGCACTTCTGCGGCCGAATGGGATTTCACATTGGGTGGTAGGCGTGTGGAGCTCAAGACCGCCATGCTAAGCTTCGACTCCAGGCAGCAACTTTGGATGGTCACCTGGGCCAATGTCAAAGTGGCGCACCAGAAGCAACCCTTTGATGATCTGTATCTGCTGATGTACACCCCAGATGGCTTCCATCTCATAAAGCACGACTTGTATACCGGCCTTGCATCGGCTGGTGCACGGACCACAACTCAGGGGCATTGTATTCGCGTGCAAGGGCGGGTGGGACAAACCTCATGGAAGGAGGCCGTGAAAACTATTCTGGACAAGTTTACTTTGACCGGCTCAGTCGAGTTGGTGGCCAGGGTTGCTAGAACCGATCCGGCAGTCTCAGCGCTCTACCTCGAGGTGCTTAAAAGCGCACTGCACGCACGTGACCGCGCATACGAGGGCGTGCCGATGAGCAATCTGCGCACAGCAGATCGCGCAAATCGAATTCAGCAGATAGCTTTAGAATTTGATAAGATGCAGAACCCTGGCGGCAGTTTTGCTTGCGCTTCGGGCGAGCTTTCCGCCAATGGCCGAAAGAGGCGAGGCTGCAATAATGCCGCTGTGGATTGGATCCGAAACGGAGTTCGGGTTGAGCTGAAGTATGCGAAAGTGTGCTTTGAGCCAAGTGCTAAGTGTTGGGCGTGCCACTTCTGCAACATCAAGGAAGAGCCGCCAGATGCTTCCAGCAAAGTTTACTTCGACGAGCTCTGGCTTGCAATGTACAGCCCTTTCAGCCTGGACATCTTTCATCACCCTGGTCAGCTCTCTTGTCGGGGATTGCACACCGCCATCGAGGGCAAGAATCTGGCCCTTCGGGGAGACAGGCATGATACTTGCATGGAGAATGCTGTCCGGCGCATGAAGGCCAAGCTTGAAGCCGCACATGCTGAGCAACTTCTCACACTTCGTTGGAGCACCTGACCCTTGCAAAGCTCTCGCGGCAGTCGTGACACACCTTCCCAGGGCTTGGCCCGTTGGGGTCAGCCGAAAAGTCCGGAAAAGCCTGCCCAAGGCTTCTCCCGTGTACTGCGATTCCACCCCGCGCGACCTCAGCGATTTCAAGCTTCAGGGTACTATCAGGGGTCAATGTAAATTGTAGAGTGTTTGGGATGCGGATAATTCTGCTCGAGGCATTGAAGCTACTGCAGTGGCGGCATATGTCGTGGCCCCAGACTTGAGCACATCGATGAAGCGCGTGACTTGATAGGCCAATAGGAGTAGCTTTGTCACGTGGCAAAGGCAGCAAGCTCCTAAGTACCTTAGGCTACGAGGCGGATACCGCCTTTTGCGCAGACCTTTCGGCTGGGAAGTGGGTGCAGATTTTCAGAAACACTCAAACCCAAACCCGCAAACCCAACAATCCCAAACCCGAAGTTCGATGAGTTCCATCTTTCCAGGTCACTCAGAGAACTGGTGGCACCAAAGGCGGCGGGGGAGGTTTCAGGGATTATAAGTTAATGAGAAGGTTTTAGGATCCAAAGGTTTTTGTGGTTCGGGCTTGGGGTTTTGGGTGAAGAGGTCAGCTCCCGCATGTTCGGAGATCCCTGCATTCTGCAAGCCCCGAAAAGGCCCAAAACCCTATGAATCTGGCAGTGCATGATTGCATGTGGCCCGCTTGGTATTTTGCTGAGAGCGGGTAGTGAAGCCTCCGAATAAGCATCTCGAGACATCGCAGCGTTTCACATGTCTTCTGCGTGGCGGAACTAGGTCTTGTGGTTGATATTGCGGTTTAGCGGCTGCCACTGTGGAGGGCGGCTGTCAGTTGGAACCTCTGTTATGGTTGTGTACTTGGGGGTGGCGTTTCCATGGTTTCGTCTGACAGCCACCTGGCGAGCTACATGTGCTTGCTGGGGTGTTAACGAGAGTCGTCGAACCTACTTTCGCAGACCTTGCCAGGCTTTGTCCGAGTGTGAGTGTCAAAACCCCCAAACATGCCTCGCCTGGATTGTCCGAGTGTGAGCGCCGAAACCCCTGAAGTCCAAAACCGTAAAGCCTGAACCCCCGAAATTCAGACCCTAAATCCACAACTTCCGAGCCTCCCCGGACTCCTTCTGTCACCAGTGGCCTGTTTTTGGATTTACGAGGTCAGGGGTTCGAGGAACTAGCCGGATTTAATGTTGCCTTTTGGGCTTTGTGTTTAGCAGTTTAGCATTGCGCTTATTGATTTAGGGGTACAAGCATTGTCATCCGGACATGTTGCGAGCTTGGCGATGTAAGCCTGATGTCGATCCAACAGCGAAGGCCGCATGTGAGCTAGTGAGCAAGGCAAACTAAACCTAACGCAGGTGCGCCACCTAGCGGGGGACCTCTCGTGTTCACGCTGGGCGCCCACTCTATCTGTGTTCAATACACAAGAACGCACCCGATTCCACAACATCCTTGGGATGCATTAGTTTATGCTTTGGGTTGGGCGTGTAGGGTTCGGTTTGGGTGTAGGCTTCAAGTGTAAACTTTGGCTCTAACAGTCTCTTTCTCCGAACGCATAGCTCAAGAGAAGATGTTTTAAGCCCTCAGTCGCCCTGCCACAACAACAGAGCTCAAGTCGAATAGAACCCCCAGATTCGTCTTGGAGCTTGTGCTAGGTTGCGGGGGACCAGGTACGAAAGTACGGTTAACAGCAGCCAGTTTGACACGTGACGACGGCGGCTGAGGCCGATGACGCGCCGTGTGGTGCGGCATGCCGAGGAGGAGAAGACTCTCCTGGGCCACCAGGCGCCTTGAGCTACGACTGCCGCAAGCTTGAAAGCATCTCCGCCTCAGTCGTCAACCCGTAGCCCCACGAAAGTCACGGAAGAAGCTTCCGCAGTCGCATGTACCGGCTGAATCCTGCTGCGTCGCAAGCAGATTCACTGCTTTTCAGACGGGCTCCTTACATTCTCTTTTTGGAGAAGGGCCTCTATATTCCACAAGTCAATGCCCAGAAGCGCGACTCTACACCCCCCGCACAGCCCCACCCCATGCTCGAGCGGAGCGGCGTGAGGCAGTGGAGCCTGCGCATCTTCTGCTGGCTCTGCTGATGCTGGTCTGGGAATTCGGGATTTCTTGCGGAGCCCAGCTCATTTAGGGCGATGCCCTGCGCCTCTGTGTCTGACCCATGCAGAAAGTATGGAACACACAAAACAACGAGTTTCATACACGCATGTGCATGAGTGCTCCCACACATGCATGCAAACAGGTATTTGAACGTGCGTATGTGAAGATGCTTACCCGTATGGGTACGTTCTCGCATATGCAGCTGCGTACAAGACCGTACAAGCATACATGCACGTATATATCATATGTCCCAAGGAAAGAGGAGCAGGGCGAGTCGCATTGGCTGCACCTCGGCCTACCACACCGTTGAAAACAGAGTCTTCACTCATGTTCACAAGGGTCTACAGGGTTTGGAACAGATCGGGGGGCTCAGTTGTTGTTGGAGTCTGGGCTTGCCATGTCGAACGACAGGCCTCAGTTTCTGCAGGAGACGGCAGCACACCATTTTTAGTGGGCCGCAAACCTAGCAGTCGCTTCATATTCGTATCACTTGCCGACTCAGTTTCAAGACGTGCCGTTGAAGCGGAGGCTCGACCACTTCGAGCAAGACCGCGAGGAAGTCCGCCGGAGAGTGCTACAGACCTTGTCAGACACTTATGTGCTGCCTTCCGCCACCTCGTGTGATTCATTCATCTGACTGGTGGTTAGATGCTCTTGTCGTGACTTCTCCAGCCGAAACTTGGACGGAAGCTTTGATGGAAGGAAGCATTGCCATAACTTCGTTTGCTTGGTGAGGCAGGGCGCTTTGGCGATCGTTCGCTTAAATGCTCAGGGCCTCAGCTCGCCAGTCTGGCTCGGTGTGAAGGAAGAAAGGTACTTTTCCGGGTGTATGGGCCTTTCAGGGACCAGGCACAGGCTCTGCTCAGATTGCGGCTGATGGTGAGCACGAATGAATGGCATAGGGGAACTCCATGCGCAACAAAGAAACACGGACAGCAAATCTAGGCGCTTGACCGAGCTGCTTGTGCAACATCGTCGTCCCGACCCAACACGAAGCTCAACTCCGCAAAGGCAGCTCTGAGTTCAATACCCGAACTGAAACCAAAGCGTCAAGGTGGCAACCAAAACTCCTAAGGCAGCGAACAAGATCGCAGAGTGGGCAGACCCAGATGGACTGGAGTGTGCGAGTTTCTATTCAGACGGTTCCTGACAGGAGTGGCTTCACAAAGGTTTTGAGGGAATGTGATTTTTTTGATGGCTTGTGCATGACCGAGAGGCGATGCTCTGGCATCTATTTGCAGCTGTAGTGTTTAAGACCAGTGCCGTAAGCCCGATGTTCCGATGTAGAGGCCTGTAAGGTTGCTGAAAGGCCTTGAGGAGCTTCCTGCGAAATAAGGAGACTGCGCCGTCGAGTTCCGATGCAGAGATGGAGTAACCAAGGGTTGCCAAAATAGTGCCTGTGCCCTCAACAGTTTGACAGACCTTTGTCTTTCAGTCGGCCAAGTGCGACGAATCTTTAAGGCAGAACCACAGACACCTTAAGTCACCGAAGCAGAATCTCAAGTTGCCGGCCCTGCTACCTCCACATCAGTCCTCGAACGAAAGCCTTGAACTTAGATTGAAAGTCGTTCGAAGCTACCCTGATCCGTCTGAGGCTGAAGAGGGCCAGCGCGGAGTTGGCCGCCTCTTCACCCGAGGCCCTTCTATGCCCATCAGGGGCAGGGTTGGGGATTGAAGATGGCTGCAATTTGGTCTGCAGCTTTCGCAGGAAGCCTTCGTGTTTGCTGCAGGGCTCCGTAACTTCGGCCGATGGCTACGGGGAAACTGTGCTTCATGTTTGTTTACGGAATGGCTGTGCGGAGTCCCCAACTCAATCGCTCCATGGGCTGGGCTTGAGGAGAGTGGAAGGCTGTCGGGAGATCTTCCGAGACTTGTATGGCGTGCAATACTGATATTGTATCGATCTGCTTAGAGCTTAGAGGGGCATTTCTCGATCCTCGAATTTGACGGCAACCAAAGACCCGGCTAGAGCTTGCACCGCTGAGGAATTGTATTAAGATTCCAGTTAGCGGCTGCCAGAATGCAGATCGCTCAGAAAATTGGAGCATCTCATACATTCGACCGCCCTTCACGCACGGGAGGATTCCAAGGACTCCGCGATGTCGCCTTTGGCTGCCCGGCTGTGCTGCCCTCGGTGCCTGCGGAACTTTGTCACATGTACTGAAACATGGTGTTGGAGAGTTTGTGGCCTGGGGTTCAGGGTTAGATGCGTGTCGTTGGTTTGTCGGTGTCCGGGCATTACCCTAAGGCCGTGGTCACAGCAGGGTTGGTTCGGGGTTCAAGGATACTGAAGCCGGTCTGGCTGGACTTGGGTCCAGTACAGAAGGGGTAACCCGAAGCGTTCTGAGCAGAGTGAGCTCCCACGCTCCGAAGCAAGCCCGCTGCAACAGGGTTTCGATTTACGTCATGACCTCTGCGCACACCACGTGTTCAGAAAAGCTGGAGCTCAAGTGCTACTGCTGGGCGCCCCGAACTCTACGGCCAAGACCTCACCCATTTCCGTGGCAACAGTGATGCCAACATTTCCGTTTCGAAGCCCCTCCGGTTTTGGAAGAGCCTCCCTAGACTGTTCCACAACCCGTCGAATGAACAGGATGAAGAAGCCATGCCTAAGAAGATGCTGATGTTGCTGGTTGAGTCCGTAGTGCCACTAAAATGCTCGAGCAGGAAACACTGTCAGACTAGTAACCGAACCGTCGTTACAGTGTGGGCAGCCAGCCGGCAGCAAAACAAAAACAGCGGTGACAGTAACGCTGATAGTGGCAACAATAGATACAACAGCAACGGCCGTCATCATGGTCAGAGTCGCACCAAGCTGCCATCACAAAACAACCCCAAACCAGGACAATAACAGTTGTGGCAACAGACAAGCATCGCACCAATGGGGA